AAAAACTGGGCCTTAAAGCCCTTTGTTTCGTTATTCATTTACCTTGGGCTTTGCAAGTTATTCTATTCATTCATTTTCTTCCTCCTTTTCCGTATTGCAAAAAATGTTTCATAATTGAGCTTTGAATGAGATTATTTTGGAATTATGGTGTGTCAATCAGGTGTGAAGCTCAAAATAAAGCATCCTCTAGCGATGACGTACAAAAAGAGACGGAGGAGCTAAAACTGCGTTATAAACGACTCAAGGTAATAAGGTGGTAGTTCATGTATTGCTTTCTTTTTATTTTTTGCCCCTCTATGTCTTTTTATTTTTTGCCCCTCTATGTTTTCTAACTTCCAAACTTGTAGGAAGAGCATGCTTTGTTCCGTGATTTTGCTGATAGAATGATGGAGAAGGACAGAGAAATTTCTAAACTTTTAGATGAGAACAAGAATCTTCAATGATCTCCGGAACTGAGGCTTACTGTATGTTTACTTGCTTTTCTCTTTTGTGTATAACATGTTGACGAGGAGGTTTTCCATTTTATCATTCGTAGCTGACACTGCAATGAATGTTTCAAGCTGGTCAGGGAGATGATTACAACAGGGTATGGTTTCTATTTTCATGCTGCTGCTTAACTAATACTTCGCTAGTTTGGAAAGAAAATTGATATGTACTTCTTGGATTTAAATCTATTGCCATATTGTGGACATTGGACGCCTTACATTTTTTTCCTTCAAACTGGTATTATCAAGTATGCAGAGACAAGATGCTCCAAATAGCACCTCTGCAGCAGAACAGCAGATTCTGGTATAAACCATGGCTTCTCCCTAAAATTCTTATACAACATTTCATTGTTTGGGTATACATGGTGTTACATCCTCACCTTCTGCGTATCTCTAAGACACTTCAGGGTGTACGAACTGAATAGGTGTAGCCCAATTAAGATTTAGTTGCCATGCTGCTACCAACTCAAATCACCTAGACAAATCTGTACTGCATATTTTTGGGTTTTGAACTTATCGTGTTATTACTTTGTGTAGTGATAGAAGTAAACTTATCAAAATGACTTAACAACTTCTCTTTCAATTTTAGCTTTTGGCAAGACTACAGCAGGCCCTGAGGGAGGAAGATCTCGCCCAGTCGCAGCGACATATTTTAGCACTTCAGGTATGTCACTCCCAATCAAGAGTTATTTTACCATATATATCAGTTTCTGATCTTTAGTTCAATGCAGGAGGAAATCGAAGAGCTTGAACGCGAAGACATACGGTCTGCACTGTCAGCAGGTATGAAGTCTGGACTAACACCATATTCTCATTATCTATGTATTGGATCTTGATCGCTCCCCATGGAACTGTCCTAAAAAGGTAAATTTTCAATTATTTTATCAAAACCAAGATCTCTGAGGTGCAGAAAGTGAACTTTTATCCAGCTGGCTTAACCATGTTTCGTCATTTAATTCTTTGAATTATCCAACCATCTATTTTTTCATGCTGTCTTTTTTGTTGTACTCTTGAGAGGATGAAGGTTATGGGGGTGGGTAAAGGTTCTACCGCTACAAATTATTAAAGAGTTCGTTCCTGCTGCTGCTGATATGCATTCATTTTTATGCATGACAAATGTAGGAAGCCATGTTGAAGGAGGAGCTCAGAAACATGGAAGAATGCAAAAGAGAGATGGTGTTGATCTGACATATCTGAAAAATGTTATCCTTAAACTTCTTGAAACACGCACCTGGCCTTGTAGGCCTACTAACTAATAGTCAGTTTTGTGATGTACTTCTACCGGTACTTCTACCAGTATGATACTGGTTCAAATTCCTTTTTTCTTAAAATTTGTGTCTGTTCCAAAAAAAGAAAAAAAGAAAAAAAAAGAGAGAACTTCTTGAGACAGGTAACAGCTAGCAGTTACTTTCAGAGCCAGGAAATTTGTTTATTTTTTCTGAATTTGGTTTATATTTTCTAAGTTACGCATGAATCAT